ATTGATTAGCAGGCATACGTGGTTCTCGCCCGAAATTCAAAAAGGCTGCTGAGAATCCCGTAGATTCGGCTACATTTGAGTTCATCGCTAATGTAATTTCTGGCAAATATACGTCCCAATTCCTGTGGTCGCCTTCCGTGAGCTGACTGATAAGGGTCTTAACGGTCCTATTAGTCCTCTCTGTGGGGTTTTCATATGGGGCGTATGGAGCGGTAAACTGTTGTGTTATACCCAAATCTGAGAAAAAAGTTCTAGTAGCCCGATTGGTAAACTGGATCCCATTATCTGATAATAAGACTTTTGGTACACCGAAGCGCGCAAGAATACTTTCTCTGAAGGCCTTTTGAAGGCCGATTGTGGTCGCCTTCCGTTGCGGTACTAGCTCAACCCATTTTGTGAACTTATCCACAAAGACCAGAAGCATGCAGTTTCCTTGTTTGGACCTTGGCAATGGTCCAACAATGTCCGCGCAGATGGTACACCATGGTTCTTCTGCTAATCGTGTTAGCATTAGTCCGGCAGCAGCCTGTTGGTTCGGTTTAAACCTCTGGCACTTCGCACATATTTACTAATATCGCGAAACATACCTGGCCAAAAACACAGTTTTGATATTCTTTGCTTAGTTTTCCTTACTCCGAAATGTCCTGCTACAGGTACGCTGTGATTCTCCCGTAATATCTGTTGTTTTAGAACTGTTGGCACACATAATATCCATGGCTTATTGTTCTCGTCCTAATCATAGCTGGGTATATGTCTACACAGCTGGTAATTTTCTATGGTGTAGTCTGCGAATTTCTTTGGATACAGTTTAACCTCCTCTTTTCGTTTGTGAACCCAGTCTGGTTCAGCACACACACCGTCGCTGGTTTTTATCCTTCTAACTAAGGCTGCAGTTCCTTCCGGTTGACGCGATAATGCATCCGCCACCACATTGTATTTACCTTTCCGATATTGCACTCTACTTACGATATTTGGCCAACCCGATGTACTTGGGGCCTCATTCCTTGTTAACTTACTAAGTCTTTCAAACTCGTTCGCCAATTGTATTAAATCGTCTAATGACGAGAACTCACGACGCTTAATATGTAGCTGGTATTCCGGCATACTATTATGATAGAGCCGGTTTAATTGTTGTTCTCTCGTGTGTCCGGCTTGTCGCATCAAATCCTGCAGCGCCAGCATGTAGTTCTTAAACGATTCGTTTTTCAATTGATGTCGGTTACGAATGGTGTCCTCTAATTCCTCAAAATAGTTACTGGGCAAGAAAAACGCGAAAAAATCTTGTTTGAATTTACTTCACCTCACCCATCGTCGATTATTGTTACGAAACCAAATTAAAGCTCTTCCTATTAGCACCTCTGGCATTAATTTTGGTAAGATGTCTTTTGAGATATTGTATACCTCGGCAAGCTCCTCCAACCTTTCGATAAATGGTAACGCTGGTGTTTCACCATCATAATGCAGAGCCCATTTACGCACCTGATTGGTTATTCTTGCTATGTCGCCAAAATCCTCTTCAGTTGGCTTGGTTTCTGAAATGGATGGTTTGTATGGTTCAGGTTCATGATTCATCGGTTAAGGCGAGCTTCCGCGGTTATATTTCGCTTCAATTTCAAGATACTTATTTCCTGGCTCCTCTCCCTTCATTACTAATTCACGTAACCGCTTACGAAGGTCCTCTACTATTCCCGTGGTGTCATCGTCGAATTCCTCCAGCATCGCTACTAGATCTTCCCTACGTGCCGCCGCAATCCACGCTGTCTTAACCATATTGGATGTTTACGATATAAATAACCAAAAGAAATCGAATCTAGTCTAAATCGAATCTAAACACGAGTCCCTGCTCGGGCGCCACTTGTAACGACCTTTCCGGCCTCTACCGCGGCCGGGGTATACTCAGCGTATACCAGGGTTCAGTACAAGAACTCAACAACAAAGAGCTAGAAATTGGAAAGAAAACTATAGGTCTAAGAATTTTCCTTGTAAACGAAGATGAGAGGTGCAGTAATGTAATTTAATTTTTTTCTAATTTTTTTTCTTTTATTTATAACTACAAATTTCCAAGTACAAATTTTTCAATTACGATCAATAAAATATCTAAAAGAAATTAATTAACAAAGCAATTTTTGTTTTCCGCGTATCAATTTTTTTTTTTATATATTTCCCCTCGCAACTATTCACTAATTTTTGTGATAATGAAAACTACGAAGTAAAAAAAAACAAATCACACTCACCGCAGTTGTAGTGATGACGTCACCGCTCCTCTGCTGTACCTGGGATATGTTTTTAAACAAAAAAAAAACCCAACCAAAGTTGAATCTCTATATCATAAATATTTACAAATATACGGGGGTGGAGAAAAAAAAAATTAATAGGCTATATTAAATTACAAATAATTATAAAAATACATTACACGATTTATACCGTATATTCTAAATTTTTATGGATATTCTTAGTTATTTTATAAAAGAGTACTTCAAAAAAAAAAAAAAAACTAAGTAAATAGATAACTAATGTAATAAGTAACAGTATTCATTTAACATACTTCAATTAATTATATTTAAATTTCATGGATATTCTTAATTATTATATAAAAGAAAATAAAATCGGAGTACTTTCAAAAAAAAAAAACTAAGTAAATAGATAACTAATGTAATAAGTAACAGTATTCATTTAACATACTTCAATTAATTATATTTAACTTTCATGGATATTCTTAGAGATTATATAAAAGAAAATTAAATAATACTTCAAAAAAAACTAAGTAAGTAGATAATTAATGCAATAAGTAATTTATTTAGTTATTATTGCTATTCTGGCAATTGATGCCTTATTGTTGTTAACGTTCGCGCCACTGCTATTGTTGCCGACGCCGTTGCTGTCCCAGGTGTCAGTTTGATTTTATCACATTCAATGCATTCGATACTTGATTTATTGATATTAAAAAAAACGTTCATTGGATATATATTATTGAAATATAAAAATTGTTAGATGTTAACTCTTTTCTATTGTTTAATTTCGTATTTATAATTTAGTTAGTAATATATTTGAATTTCTTTAAACACTTCATTTGGTTTCCTTTGTGATTAATAATGTAACATATTCTGCGGTAAAGCAAAGGCACTAGAGATGGACACACGTCTCTCAAAAAAAAAATTAGTTTTTTTATATAATTTTTTTTTTATTTAAAATACTTGATAGTTGTTATGGTATAAAACACTGTTCCAGGGTATAAATTTATATATTAACAACTTCACGCCGCTTCCGATAAGAGTTTCATATTGTTTGAGATTTGGCACAGCAACTAGGCGATATGGCAGCACACATTTAGTAGTTTTTGACGATGGCATCCTAACATCTGGCAGCGATAATTTTAGCTTCGCTTTTTTGCTTTTTCCTTCCCCTTCTTCTTAATTGGCTACTGGCGGTGTGTGCACGTTTTTTTGGCTTGACAAGATATTAATAATTTATCAGTTCAAAATTTGAATAAGAATGTAATAAAATTTAATTGACTATATCCTTAACGAATAAATACATAAACTTTTGCGTGTGTGGAAATTCGTGTTTGTTTTTCATACATTTGTTGGTGCCGAAACCCGGGAATTTCGGTTTTTATTTAAAATTAAATTGCGTTTTTGGCTTTTTTGGCGTTTTTATACGAAGAAAATATGGCTGCCCTAAATAAGCGTACGGCTGCGTGGTCATCATTAAAGCGGGTAGCTGCAAAAATAGTGGCGGATGACTACGTTGAGGATGGCTTTGGTATGCAGCAAGATCGTGCAACATTGCAGGCACACTTCGAAAAACTAGAAACTGCACATGGTGAGTTGGTGGCTTTGGCAAGAGATGATACTGAATTATGGTCTCACATCAAGTTGTGGGACGAGGTGGAAGACTTATATAACGAGGCGTGCGTTGCATTGCGGCGTGAGTTGGCCCGTTGTGATGCACAAAATACGGATGCACCTTCCAATATGGCAGGCGGTGCTGTATCTTCCCAAGGCTTGGCAATTAAATTGGAACGATTGGCGGTACCCAAGTTTGATGGCACGATGCGCAATTGGCTGGCATTTAAGGACACATTCGAGACATTGGTACATTCGCAAGAGTTTCCAGAGGCATACAAGCTTGACAAACTGCGAGAGGCAGTCCATGGTGATGCAGTGGCGCTTGTCGGAGGCATGTACAGTGGCGGGTACGATGAGGTATGGGCTGCACTGAAGGCTCGATACGACAATCCGAAACAGTTGGCTGAAATACACGTGGCTAGGCTAATTGGCTTCAACCCACCACATGCTGAGTCAACATCTGCGTTGCTCTCGGTGGTTGATACAGTGCGAGAGTCCTTGCGAGCACTTGCAGTAATGAACCTACCTGTGGATCAATGGGATGCATTGGCGGTACCCATGATAGTGGCCAAGTTACCAACAATTACGCAACAGGCATGGGGCATGAGCCGCACAACTAATCAAATTCCTCCTTTGGCAGATTTGCTTGCATTTTTGGAGACACGAGCTCACAGTCTAGTTGGCACTGTTTGGCGAGAAATGGAGAGCAAACCAAAATCTGATGACAAGACCGCTACACTACAATATCGTGGCACATCTCAGGCTGATTATAAAAGGCCAGGCTCACGTCTAATGAGGACAAACCTAATAGCAACTACTTCAGGCCACTGCCAGTTTTGCAATGACGCATCGCACCAAATAGGCAAGTGCACCAGGCTATTGGCTTGCTCACCAGCGGAGCGCTTCACACTGCTTAAAGGCTCGAATCTTTGCTTCAATTGCTTGAAACCTGGACATTCTACTAAGGCATGTGGCTCAACTAATTGTCGCATATGCAATGGCAGGCATCACACTCTACTATGCCGAAGTTCACCAGCGCAAACTCCTCCTTTGCAAGAGTCCAAACAGCAGGCACAAGCTACACCTCAGGCACCAGCGAAACCGAACCAGGCTGGCATTCCACCACGTGTGCATCAGTGACTACACCATCCAATGCAGACATTCGCTACTATAGGCAATCGGGTTATACTCTTGGCAACAGCACAAATACGCATCTTAAATGGCTTTGGCGATATCGACTCGTGTCGAGCTCTATGCGATCCAGGCTCTCAGGTAAGTCTAATGAGTACGCGATATTTTAATCAACTGGCTCTGCGGAAGCAGAAAAGTGCATTGCAATTACAAGGCGTTGGCAGTGGCAATCGTTCATATACTAATGGCCGGGCAGTCTTGCGCATATTTTCGACTGTCAATGCTTTATTTGGCTTGGATGTTGAATTCTACATCATCAACAAAATTACCTCAGCAATCCCTGTGGCTCCAATCATGGAAAACTGTTGGCAGCATTTACGCAATTTGCCCTTGGCAGACCCGAAATTTGGCGAAACTGGTGTTATAGATGCATTGCTTGACTCAGACGTATGGGGCCAATTGTTGGCAGATGGCATAGTTCGTGGCGAGCTTGATGATCCTGTGGCACAAAATACGCAATTAGGCTGGGTTGTATTCGGACCAGCCGAAGCAACCGTGCATAATTACAAGGCGGAACAATCTATGGCATTGCGTGTGGAGGCGCCTGATGAGCGAGTTGATGACCTTCTACACAGGCTATTTGAATCCAAAGAAATTGACATGGCTAAAGGCGATACACTAGCAGCAGTTGATCTTTGCGAGTGCATTTTCATGAGCACACATAAGCGTTTTGATGATGGCAGTTATTGTGTACAAATACCATTTACACCAGATGCTCCACCACTTGGCAATTCACATCAGATGGCACTCAGGCAATTTCACCAGTTGGAACGAAAATTGGCATCCAACTCAGAGCTGAGCCAAAGATATGTGGCTTTTATGCGCGAATACGAACAACTTGGTCACATGCACCCTATTCAGCATCATTCAGGCGACCCATCTCAGGCATACTACATTCCACATCATGCAGTCATGGCAAAATTCCGAGTCGTATTCAATGCTTCCGCAAAAACATCGAATGGCATATCATTAAATGATACACAACTCGCTGGCCCCCCAATACAGGATTTATTACTTAACCTTTTGCTTCGCTTCAGGCAGCATCGAATAGCATTCACAGCTGATGTGGAGAAAATGTTCAGGCAAGTCAAGGTTGACGAGAGGCACAGGCAGTGGCAACAGATCCTCTGGCGGGAATCATCCGATCAGCCCATTCGCACATATCAATTGGCTACCGTTACATATGGCACAACTAGTGGCACATATTTGGCTGTTCGCGCTATGCAGCAATGTGGCAGAGACAACTCTTATAAACTCTCAGATGAAGTACGAGCTAAAACTGCTTTGCACAGCATCCTGTATGATTTCTACGTAGATGACTACCTTAAGAGTACACCTTCTATTGGCATGGCGATTCAACTGGCGGCCGATGTCTCATCTGTTTTGGCAGACGGTCAGTTCCATCTCAGGAAATGGAAATCGAATAGCGCTGAAGTCTTGGCACATCTTCTTGGCGATGCTGATCCATGTCAGCTTAATTCGCACTTGGCAGAAACTACTGTTCTTGGCTTACACTGGGATCCACTCACTGATGAACTCTTCTATCAGGTCAGCTCTTATGATGCACAACATCTTACGAAAAGGCAAGTGCTTAGCGATGCCGCAAAATTATATGATCCAATTGGCATGTTGGCACCGGTCATCATTACGGCTAAACTTTTCATACAGAAACTCTGGCAAGCAAAATTGGCATGGGACGACCCATTACCACTTGAACTGTTGCAAGAATGGCTCATATACCGAAGGCAGCTGTCCCAACTGGAGGCAGTGCGAATACCGCGTTGGATAGGCATGCAACCCGGATATCAAATACAACTTCACGGCTTCTGCGATGCTAGTGTCAAGGCAATGGCTGCAGCACTCTATTTGGCAACAAACCACAATGGCAGTATCACTAGTCACATTATCGCATCAAAAACTAAAGTGGCACCATTACATTCGGTAACAGTACCCCGATTGGAACTTTGTGCTGCGCAATTGTTGGCTACTCTTTTACACGAAACAAGGCAGGCTTTGCATTTGGAGCACGTACCATACACTCTATACTCCGACTCAAATATTGCTCTATGTTGGCTACGCAAAAACCCATCACAATTAAAGCAGTACGTTGCTAATCGCGTTGGCTGTATTCAATCGATGACAGATATCAGGCATTGGCATCACATTCCTACCAAACATAACCCAGCTGATTGCGCCAGTCGTGGCATATCCCCTTTGGCGTTGCAAAACTACGCATTATGGTGGCACGGTCCTAATTCAACTGATTATTCAATCAATGAGCTGCACCACTGTGCACCAGCAGAGCTGGCAATAATGGAAGGCGAGTTAAAACCAGTTAAGGTAAAGGCATTGCAGGTAATAGGCAACCCGCATTACAGACACACTACACTGCTGGCGACGAATTGGTCGTCATAGATCTGTTGGACCGGTTCAGTCATCTTGGCAAGCTATTGCGCACTACTGCATACATATTGCGTTGCAAAAAGGCACATCATCGTTTTCGTTCGCATACACACATCTGTACAGGCGAAATGGACATTGCTTTAAATCACCACATCAAGGCAGAACAAGCGAAATATTTCGCAGCGGAAATCAAGCAGCTGAAAAAGGCACAGCCCATATCCACATCCAGCAAGATCATTGCACTGAGTCCATTCATCAACTCCACAGCGGACAATATATTGCGAGTAGGCGGACGCCTACACAATGCGAGGGTGGCAGAGCCACAGCGTCATCCAATCATTCTTCCGAAGGATAGCACATTGGCCAGGCTTTTAATATGGCAGGTGCATCAGGACACACTTCATGGCGGTATACAAATCATGCTTCATACGATTCGACACAAATATTGGATTCTACAGGCACGCATTTTGGTTAAGCAATGCATACACTCATGCGCGATTTGCAGGCGGCATAAACACATAATGCTAAAACAACGTATGGCGACATTACCAAAGGCTCGGGTCACCCCATCTCCACCATTTGCAAGATCTGGCTTAGACTATTGCGGTCCATTCAACATACGCATTGGCTCCAAGGCTGTTCGAACAGTGCGGAAGGCTTACGTGGCAATCTTTGTGTGCATGGTAACCAAGGCAGTGCACATCGAACTGGCTGAAGATCTCACTTCTGAGGCTTTCATAAATGCATACACCCGTTTCGTAAACCGGCGTGGTCCATGTAATCATTTATACAGTGACAATGGCACTACATTCATTGGCGCAGATCGCTTAATGGCCGCTGACTTACAGGCTTGGCATAATGAATATTCTCAACAGCAATTGGCAAATCGAGGCACAAAATGGCATTTTCTACCACCTGGCGCACCTCATCAAGGCGGTCTATGGGAAGCTGCCGTTAAGTCAGCGAAGAAGCACTTACTACGCATTGTTGGCACCCATTCCATTTACTATGGTCAGCTACATACTCTACTTGTACATATCGAGGCTTGCTTGAATTCACGTCCACTTATACCATTGCATGACACTTGTGACGACAAGATGGCTCTATCACCTGCAGATTTCCTGATTGGCAGATCTCTATTGGCAGTACCAGACGCACCTATTGGCAAAGTACCTAGCAACAAATTATCATACTGGCGACAATTAAGGCAAATGCAACAGCATTTTTGGCGACAATGGCATGATGAATATCTTTCAACTTTGCAACCACGTTCCAAATGGCATCAGAATGGCGACAACATCAACATAGGCGATGTCGTGGTTATCCGGCACGAGAATCTACCAGCTACACATTGGCGGCTTGGCAGGGTGATTAAACTTCACCCAGGCGAAGATGGTTTGGTCCGAGTAGTCACGATCAAGCATTCAGCAGGCGAATGCATGCGACCTATCCAAAAGATATGCAGGCTTGTGGAGCATCCTGAACGTACCCGTCCAGTCGGGGAGGATGTTTGAGATTTGGCACAGCAACTAGGCGATATGGCAGCACACATTTAGTAGTTTTTGACGATGGCATCCTAACATCTGGCAGCGATAATTTTGGCTTCGCTTTTTTGCTTTTTCCTTCTCCTTCTTCTTAATTGGCTACTGGCGGTGTGTGCACGTTTTTTTGGCTTGACAAGATATTAATAATTTATCAGTTCAAAATTTGAATAAGAATGTAATAAAATTTAATTGACTATGTATATCCTTAACGAATAAATACATAAACTTTTGCGTGTGTGGAAATTCGTGTTTGTTTTTCATACACATATATATATCTTTTTTTTTATTTCTTTTGTATTCTTTGCGGATCACTGTTCCGTTCAAAAAAACTTAACCAAGAAGACAGAAGATCCTCCGAATGGTCCTTTTATTTACTTTTTTATAACTGCTTAACTCAGACTTTTTAATCCGCCGTTTCGCGGTCAATAAACTCAAGCTTTCAAAAAAAAGCTTCCAATTACTTTGCTGTTGGTTATTCTTTCGTTTCTCGTCTTGCGCTGTTTATGCTGCACACTCTTTTCTATTCCTTTCTCTATTTCCCGCTGCAATATTTTGGCGATCAAACGAAAATGTAAAAAAACAAATAAAAATGACATCTCTCACGTTGCTGTTTCCCTTTTTTTGTTTGTTTTGATTTGTTCCATAAATGTGTTTGGGTGCTAGTTACTTTTTTCTTAACTATTATTATTAAAAAAAGAATTTATTTAAACTAAAGTAAGACGGATAAACCGAGAGGACATGTCAAATGTTATTATTCTATAAGTTTCTTTATTGTGGCATAGTTCTACTTTCTTAAGAATTTCCGCTTACATCCAGCAACTTCTTTCACAACACAACTCCACTGACATTATTGCTGTAGACCAGCCGTGAGAATCCGAGGTAATATCAATGAAATATTTGTCAATCAGTGCTTTTAATTACTTAATTATCCTAGGTCCTCAACGCTATAAGATCAATTTTATTTTTCTGCAAAATTGATCATTGCATTCCCCCCATACTTCCAGTAAAAGGTAAATCCTGTTGTAAGGGTTGACATTGTATTCCCAATATTATGTTTACGCTTTTTCCATACTGCCTTCGTACTCTTCTCGATTAGAGTCTACGTAGTACAATTTGATATCGCTGACGTGGGCTGTTTTCCTGGTTTTAGTGATCTTCTACTATTACAGTTACTGGCGATTGGAAACATTTCACCTTGTATGGCCCACTGAATTTTTGACTTAGTTTCGCGGCAATGTGATCAACCGCTTTAGACAAAGTATGGTTCCTTACCAGAACTTGATCCCCTATTTTCGGTTTCCAATCCCTACGGCGGAGATTGTGATGCCTTGCCTGTTCGATCGAAGAGTACTGCATATTTTGCCTTACCACTTACATGATAATTTGTAATTTCTGAGCTTTGTCGGTAGGAGAGATTGGCACGTCACCGGTACCTGGAGTGACCTTGTCAAATTGATTAGCAGGCATACGTGGTTCTCGCCCGAAATTCAAAAAGGCTGCTGAGAATCCCGTAGATTCGGCTACATTTGAGTTCATCGCTAATGTAATTTCTGGCAAATATACGTCCCAATTCCTGTGGTCGCCTTCCGTGAGCTGACTGATAAGGGTCTTAACGGTCCTATTAGTCCTCTCTGTGGGGTTTTCATATGGGGCGTATGGAGCGGTAAACTGTTGTGTTATACCCAAATCTGAGAAAAAAGTTCTAGTAGCCCGATTGGTAAACTGGATCCCATTATCTGATAATAAGACTTTTGGTACACCGAAGCGCGCAAGAATACTTTCTCTGAAGGCCTTTTGAAGGCCGATTGTGGTCGCCTTCCGTTGCGGTACTAGCTCAACCCATTTTGTGAACTTATCCACAAAGACCAGAAGCATGCAGTTTCCTTGTTTGGACCTTGGCAATGGTCCAACAATGTCCGCGCAGATGGTACACCATGGTTCTTCTGCTAATCGTGTTAGCATTAGTCCGGCAGCAGCCTGTTGGTTCGGTTTAAACCTCTGGCACTTCGCACATATTTACTAATATCGCGAAACATACCTGGCCAAAAACACAGTTTTGATATTCTTTGCTTAGTTTTCCTTACTCCGAAATGTCCTGCTACAGGTACGCTGTGATTCTCCCGTAATATCTGTTGTTTTAGAACTGTTGGCACACATAATATCCATGGCTTATTGTTCTCGTCCTAATCATAGCTGGGTATATGTCTACACAGCTGGTAATTTTCTATGGTGTAGTCTGCGAATTTCTTTGGATACAGTTTAACCTCCTCTTTTCGTTTGTGAACCCAGTCTGGTTCAGCACACACACCGTCGCTGGTTTTTATCCTTCTAACTAAGGCTGCAGTTCCTTCCGGTTGACGCGATAATGCATCCGCCACCACATTGTATTTACCTTTCCGATATTGCACTCTACTTACGATATTTGGCCAACCCGATGTACTTGGGGCCTCATTCCTTGTTAACTTACTAAGTCTTTCAAACTCGTTCGCCAATTGTATTAAATCGTCTAATGACGAGAACTCACGACGCTTAATATGTAGCTGGTATTCCGGCATACTATTATGATAGAGCCGGTTTAATTGTTGTTCTCTCGTGTGTCCGGCTTGTCGCATCAAATCCTGCAGCGCCAGCATGTAGTTCTTAAACGATTCGTTTTTCAATTGATGTCGGTTACGAATGGTGTCCTCTAATTCCTCAAAATAGTTACTGGGCAAGAAAAACGCGAAAAAATCTTGTTTGAATTTACTTCACCTCACCCATCGTCGATTATTGTTACGAAACCAAATTAAAGCTCTTCCTATTAGCACCTCTGGCATTAATTTTGGTAAGATGTCTTTTGAGATATTGTATACCTCGGCAAGCTCCTCCAACCTTTCGATAAATGGTAACGCTGGTGTTTCACCATCATAATGCAGAGCCCATTTACGCACCTGATTGGTTATTCTTGCTATGTCGCCAAAATCCTCTTCAGTTGGCTTGGTTTCTGAAATGGATGGTTTGTATGGTTCAGGTTCATGATTCATCGGTTAAGGCGAGCTTCCGCGGTTATATTTCGCTTCAATTTCAAGATACTTATTTCCTGGCTCCTCTCCCTTCATTACTAATTCACGTAACCGCTTACGAAGGTCCTCTACTATTCCCGTGGTGTCATCGTCGAATTCCTCCAGCATCGCTACTAGATCTTCCCTACGTGCCGCCGCAATCCACGCTGTCTTAACCATATTGGATGTTTACGATATAAATAACCAAAAGAAATCGAATCTAGTCTAAATTTAATCTAAACACGAGTCCCTGCTCGGGCGCCACTTGTAACGACCTTTCCGGCCTCTACCGCGGCCGGGGTATACTCAGCGTATACCAGGGTTCAGTACAATAACTCAACAACAAAGAGCTAGAAATTGAAAAGAAAACTATAGGTCTAAGAATTTTCCTTGTAAACGAAGATGAGAGGTGCAGTAATGTAATTTAATTTTTTTCTAATTTTTTTCTTTTATTTATAACTACAAATTTCCAAGTACAAATTCTCAATTACGATCAATAAAATATCTAAAAGAAATTAATTAACAAAGCAATTTTTTTTTTTCCGCGTATCAATTTTTTTTTTATATATTTCCCCTCGCAACTATTCACTTATTTTTGTGATAATGAAAACTACGAAATAAAAAAAAAACAAATCACACTCACCGCAGTTGTAGTGATGACGTCACCGCTCCTCTGCTGTACCTGGGATATGTTTTAAACAAAAAAAAACCCAACCAAAGTTGAATCTCTATATCATAAATATTTACAAATACACGGGGGTGGAGAAAAAAAAAATTAATGGGTTATATTAAATTACAAATAATTATAAAAATACATTACACGATTTATACCGTATATTCTAAATTTTTATGGATATTCTTAGTTATTTTATAAAAGAAAATTAAATCGGAGTACTTCAAAAAAAAAAAAACTAAGTAAATAGATAACTAATGTAATAAGTAACAGTATTCATTTAACATACTTCAATTAATTATATTTAACTTTCATGGATATTCTTAGTTATTATATAAAAGAAAATTAAATAATACTTCAAAAAAAATTAAGTAAGTAGATAATTAATGCAATAAGTAATTTATTTAGTTATTATTGCTATTCTGGCAATTGATGCCTTATTGTTGTTAACGTTCGCGCCACTGCTACTGTTGCCGACGCCGTTGCTGTCCCAGGTGTCAGTTTGATTTTATCACATTCAATGCATTCGATACTTGATTTATTGATATTAAAAAAAACGTTCATTGGATATATATTATTGAAATATAAAAATTGTTAGAATTTAACTGTTTTCTATTGTTTAATTTCGTATTTATAATTTAGTTAGTAATATATTTGAATTTCTTTAAACACTTCATTTGGTTTCCTTTGTGGTTAATAATGTAACATATTCTGCGGTAAAGCAAAGGCACTAGAGATGGACACACGTCTCTCAAAAAAAAATTGGTTTTTTTTTATATAACTTTTTTTTTATTTAAAATACTTGATAGTTGTTATGGTATAAAACACTGTTCCAGAGTATAAATTTATATATTAACAACTTCACGCCGCTTCCGATAAGAGTTTCATATATATAACTTTTTTTTTATTTCTTTTGTATTCTTTGCGGATCACTGAAGTTAAACTCTGTCATACGTTCTGCCCGTTCCGTTCAAAAAAACTCAACCAAGAAGACAGAAGATCATCCGAATGCTCCTTTTATTTACTTTTTTATAACTGCTTAACTCAGACTTTTTAATCCGCCGTTTCGCGGTCAATAAACTCAAGCTTTCAAAAAAAGCTTCCAATTACTTTGCTGTTGGTTATTCTTTCGTCTCTCGTCTTGCGCTGTTTATGCTGCATACTCTTTTCTATTCCTTTCCTTTTTTTTGTTTGTTTTGATTTGTTTCATAAATGTGTTTGGGTGCTAGTTTCTTTTTTCTTAACTATTATTATTA